GATTTTTAAGCTACACTTGTTTTGTAAATGGTATTCAACGGGACATCATTCAATATCATCCATCCACAAGCAAACAAATGAGTCACTCAACATATGGTTTATTAGATTTGAAACAAACAATAAGCGATAGGCAAAGTGGTCAGTATAACTACATATATTGTAGATTAAACTTTTACATATATAGTACAATGTATATCGTAAACAACATTGAATACTAAGGTTTTCAAATGTCCTAGAATATGAAAACTTATATGGTTTCAATATAGAATTATTGATCAAATTGTAAGTGCAAACAAACATATATATTTATGATACACAATCAAAATCTTCTTCTCTGTGGTTTTTCCTATAGATATTAAGAAACCCTATTATACATGATATGTGAATATAACATTTAAGGGAATTACTGGCATGAGATTAAACTATGGCTGCAAATAAAAACAAATAAAACAGTACAAATTCAAAATACTGATATAATATACGAAAAATGTCGAACAGATAAGAGATAAGAAATATAATTTATTAACATTAAAGTCTTTATTACAAATCTTTATATTTTAATGAAAACTAGAAAACCATCAACACAGTACTACTGACTTTATAAAAACATAGAACTTTCATGAAATGTTTTTGTAAACATATTTCAATAATATATGGAATATACAAAATGCCAGAAATGTTGCTCCTGTCATATGAAATACATAAGCTAAACACATACACAATAATATGATGATGACTAATAGCTAGCGTCAGTTGAAAATTACATATGTGTTTTCTTAGAATAAAATAGGAATATGTATACATTTATTACGGTATATATCTACAGTGCCGTGCCAAAAGTGAAGATAATTTTCACGACGTCATTTTACTTCCGGGTTACTCATTTTGATTAAAAGGGTCATTTCTCGGAAAGTATGTCAGGGTTATGCCCCTTCTTCCACAATTTACTCAAGGGATGCTATGCAATAGGTCATAGGTCACCGGAAGTGATTGGTCGTCTGCAAAACAGATGCCACCCAAACGGAGAGAACTGTCTCTATCAGAGAAAAGTGTCATCAAATCTTTGCATGAGTCGGGAAGAAACCTAAATCAAATATCTGAACAAACAGGACACCCTCTTCCAACAATTTATGGTGTTTTGCGACGTATTCGTGAAGAAGGATCGATTGAAAACAGAGAGAGAAGTGGCTGACCCTCCAAGCTCACTGAACGGGATTCTCGTCAACTTTGTGGTATCGTTAAATCAAACAGAAGGAGATCTCCGGGTGAAATTAATCATATTTTTAATGAGTTTAGACCCGAAACCATTTCTAAACGTACTGTAAGAAAATTATACGAGGAAAATTTTAACAAGCGTGTTGTGAAAAAGGAAATCAGAATTCGCGAAGCTAATCCTAAACACCGCCGCGCTTGGTGTAAACTAAATAGATAGCGAACTGTTGATGATTACTGGAAACACGTGATATTTAGTGATGAGTGTAAGGTTGAATGGACATGGACAACCGTGTTTTGGTATGACGACAGCTCGATGAAGAATGGACCCCCCGGTGTTTGAATACCTTAATACAATTGAAAAAAATTGGAGAAAAATTCAGATTAAACTTCAGAAACAAGCCCACAACATCACCTCTCGTGTAATTTATGTGGATGCAATGCGCACAATATGGACAGAAATATCCCTGGAATTCATCCAAAAACTGTACAAATCAATCCCAAAGTGCATAAAAGCAGTAATCAAAGCCAAGGGATGTATCACAAAGTATTAGGTAAGTTTAAGTTATGACAATTACGTAGCAAATGACTTTAAATTTCTGCGGTTTCAAGCTCACAAAAATGGCAGCCATCTTGGATTTATCTTCGCTTTTGGCACAGCAGTGTATGTTATCACAAATTTTCTCATGTTACTATGTAACTGAAGATCGAATAGATAGTAAACGTTTGTGCAAAATTTAACGTCTTCTTTTGTCAATAACACATTATTATTTTTATTCTATACATATATTTTACATTTAGTATTTGTACTACCCTGTGTACCCTGTAGAATTCCCGTTTTCTCTCGCATTCCTTTTTTGGATTACTTGACAAAATATAACAAAATGATTGGTGGAAGTATTATATAACCAATAATTTAAGTATATATATAAAGGATCTGTGATAAGTTTTCCTTTTTATTAGATTTATGATACAGGGGTGTCAGCGTTTCAGTTGACAGATTTTGCGTTTTCATTCCGTTTTCATTCCATTTCATTTGCGTTTTCATTTCATTTCGTTTTCAAGATTCAATTCGTTCCGTTTCCGTCGCAGACTGGTTTTTTCGTTTCGTTCTGCTTCGTTCCGTGTTAAATCCTCTCTACCCTAATCGTTCCGTTTCGCTCCGTCCCAGTCCGAGTGGAGCTTTCGTTTCGTTCCGTTCTACACTCGTTCCGTTCCGTTCCATCGGCGAGGCGCTTGTACATTGATGTGAAACAAAATGGCGGTGGTAACTGAGGCAGCCTCAAAAACTTATCGACTCTTGATCAGCTTTTTAAGACAACTCTTACTGTCTCTTTATACTCTCTCGATTTTGTCGCAAAATGCCTGTTAGATGNTCTGTCTCAACTACAAAACAATCGGAAGCAATAGCATACATATTTATTGTTTTTTAAAAGATCGCAAAATTTTAATAAAACGGTAACAGGTTCTCTTTATGATAAATTTTTATGACATAATATTAGGTTTCTATAGAGCACATCAAATTAATAAGAACAAACAAAGTCAATCAGGACTTCTCCTAGATCACAGAAAATCAATTAACTTGTTTTTTTAAATCAACTCTATCGAGTTTGTAGTATATCAATAAGGCTGATCTATCTTAATTATACGTTTTGAAACTTACATGTATCGATTCAAAAAGATGTGTAATCGACGTTCATTTAACATCATACCTAGTGCACGAAACGACCATATGCTGACTATTTTTGGCTTTCTGCATTTACAAACAAAGTTTTCAAATATTTCTCGTATTTTTAGTGATTGTATTCTAATTTCTCTGTATTTCTGTTAGTTTTTTCTACAAAGTTCGAATTAACGTATGCGACAATATATTAATACTACATCATTAACTTTCGGTATAATAAAATGAATATTACATTCATTAGAGTGTGACAGATCCAAAGGGTACGTCGGTTGCGCGAGGCGAAGCCAAGTGAGACAGTGCTATCCGAGGCGAAGCCGTGGTTGACAGTGATATCCTATAGGTGACCTTAGGCATTTTCACACTCTAATGAATGTAGTATATTTTTATTATACCGAAAGTCAATATGGCGGCTGAAACGAACCGTACTTTGCACAGTAACTATTTTGCACTGTCACACACACTGTCACTCGTTGCTAGTGCGTTCTTTCATTGACTCACTAATGAAGCGAATGTGACAGTGTGAAATAAACAATTTGTCTCGACTAATTGGATTAAAGGATTTCGATAGTTGTCACTCGTTGTTAGGGCGTTCTTTCCTTGACTCACTGTTGAAGCGAATGTAACAGTGTGAAATAAACAATTTGTCTCGACCAATTAGATTAAAGGATTTCGCTAGTTGTCACTCGTTGTTAAGGCGTTCTTTCATTGACTCACTGTTGAAGCGAATGCGACAGTGTGAAATAAACAATTTGTCTCGACCAATTAGATTAAAGGATTTCTCTAGTTGTCACTAGTTGTTAGGGCGTTCTTTCATTAACTCAATGTTGAAGCGAATGTGATAGTGTTTCATAAACAATTTGTCTCGGTCAATTAGATTAAAGGATTTCGCTAGAGGTAAAATAAGAAATAACTGTTCAATGACGAGTAAATCATTGTAGGTTCTTGCTGACTTTTTTAACTTACCTGTTGTAATAACGACAGAAAGCATATTTTCATCAAAATGATAATGATAGTTAGAGGTTCTTATATACCGCTTTATCACAACCTAGTTCGTAGGTCGTCTCAAAGCGGTTCACAATTTATTATCCGTGGTAATAGGGCTTTAGCAGCCAATATCGTTCTCAACTACCTGGGGAGTATTCAACCGGTTCTGCCATTTCGGCGCGCATTCTACAATTATAGCACTGCCCAACCACGTACTCATTTACAGCTAAGTAGACTGGAACAAGCGGAGAAAAGTATCTTGCTCAAGGAAATAACACTATGCCGTGCTGTGCCGTGCCGTGCCGTGCCGTGCCGTGCCGTGCCGTGCCTCGAACCCGCAACCCTTCGGTTACGAGCCCGGCGTCCTACCTCTAGACTACCGCGCCTCCATTTTCTAATATTCACATATGAAAAACAGCGGCAGCGTGCAATTGACACTAGATAGACCGCTCTGTGTCAACATGACACAGTGACCTTGTGCAGGGTCAGGGTTCGGAGGTGACCACAGTGTTGAGTCGATGACGCCACCATCACTGTCCTGCCACTGTGATGTGTACTGTCCGGAGACGTAGAATCGAAAATCTTGTTCTACAATAATAAATAAACGAATCGTGTATACTATTATTCTTTATAAGAAGTGTTTATAATTACATATTTCAAAAACCCATCGAAGAGGATTGGCTGTACCTTTCATAGAAGAGGGATATTGATCGTCCGTATTGAAAGATACACCTACTTTCTTGATTAAACTGCGTTTGAAGTCTTTATGACGTAAATTTTGACAGCTTTGGGCTCAGGGAGGGGCTTTAAATACAACAATCACTCGTAAAGTCGGGCTCAGGGAGGGACGTTAAGTACAGCAATCACTCGTAAAGAATAATAATTAAATTATGCTGTATGCTTTGCTTGTGTTTTGTTTATATGTCGTATCATCTTGTTTTGACGAAGCAATCGAGTTGAAATTGACAAAATCATTGGCAACACGCCCTCATCTGACATGAACATTAATTGTTCGGGTGAGAGGTGATTAAGGACAAAAATCAAAAATATTAATGTTATTATCCATGCTGTTCTGAAGTGTACTTCCATGAAATATTCCAAAAGATTCATAAGTTCTTACTTAAAATGTTGTTTTCTTGTATTTCAGTTTGTAGGATAGTTAGACGGTCCAGTGTTCCGACCTTCACCAGCCAAGCATCCTGGGAGACACACGACTCTGAGGCATTGGCTTGGTTCTGTCTCAGCTCAATCACTTTGTAGGAGAAGATTCCAGCATCGACATGCTTGTAACCCCGATTGTACACTTCACCAACGGTAATAAGAGAATGATCAACAATGACTAAAATATTGAATAAAAATTCGACAGATATTACATTTGACTAATAAGAATAAGTATTATCCAGGTGAAGTATAAACAAAACAATTCATAAAATAGGGCTGTATTTGATTTTCTTCTTATTGAGAGTTCAACGTTCCCACTTTTGATTATTTGTTTCAAAGTATTCTTTCCAGAGGATTATTTACATGCTTACGGCTGATAAAGCAACGAGAAGGTACGAGGCAACAATTGCCAGTTTGTAGATTGTATAATACTCAGCAAAATGAGTTACCTGTGTTGTAGTAGTAAGGAATTTCATGTCTGGAGAAAGACGTTTTCCTGATCGAGGTATATCCGTGACAATTTTGGGTCGTCGCGTCGAACCTGAAGGACACACAGCCAGTCTGTCTGTGACAGGCGATACCACAGCGATGGGCGGAGGGGTCAGGTGGCTGTAGGCTGATGGGCTGACCCAAGGTCGACATAGATGGTAGGGAGGCTAGGGCATATCGACTCAACACTGTAATCAACATATACATAGAAAAAACATGGAATAACGCTATCTCAATATAACTTGTATTTTCTGTTTTTAATTTTATATGGAGGGGTAACATGAATATCTCGCAAATGGAACCAATTTGTTCTGAGATTTATACAAAGCAAAGATAAACGAAAAAAAGGATGGCTTCGCGAGATCAGGAATCGATTGGTAGTAGCGGATCCAAAGTGGTTTCTTCCAGGGCTTTAGAATACGTAACAAACTGATAATTTAAAATCAAATTAAAGATATATTTTACTCAATTAGAAACCCATCAAGCAATATCTGAAAACCACAAGGCCAGTGTCTAGATCCGACTGTGCTTCGGACGTCATCTTTGATCAAATAAAATATACAGTAAGCTTAGATGAGGACAATCAGTGAAGCATTATCAATGCAACTGTCACTTACAATATCCCGTTTTATTTTTAAACATTTTCCTTATGTTGGTAAGTATGGATTATGAAAACATTCTTGTTACACAACCAATAAATGTTTCTAAGTAACGTTTCGATGACTAGTACGGTATGTACTCTGTCATCTTCATCAAACAAATGGACAGTGAAGCGTATGTACACAAAGGTGTAAAATGTGTACGAGTTGCCCTGTCCACAAATCATTGTGGATTCGACTACACTGTAAGCCTATGTACAATAAGTTGTTATAAATGTTATTTATGTACCGATATGACTCGTCGAATCAGCAACGCTTTGTTTAATACTTGGTTATAGATGGGAAGAACAAGAAAAGGCCAATCAAGGATAAGAACAAAACCCAAGGTCAAGTGGTCATCCCGTATATAAAAGGTATATCCGAAACCATCCAGAGTGTGTATATCGCGATCATGGCATAGCAACAGTCATGAAACCCCACAAGACGCTTCGTAATATCCTAGTACACCCTAAGGATAAAACACATAAAGAAAACGTCACAGAATGCGTATACAAAATCGGATGCAAACATGTGACGCATCGTATTTTGGAGAGACTGGAAGGCGATTTGGGGTCCACCTTCGTGAACACCGGAGAGAAGGAAACCCAAGAAGGAAATAACTTCACCAAATCAGAAAGGAAGCAGTCGGAGTCCCAGATAAATAAATCGGCAATCACAGACCATGCCACACATAAAAATAATGTGATTGACTGGGATAACTCCAAAGTATTGGACAGAGAGAGCAATCTGTTCAAGCGACAAATATAGAAAGCCATCTGGATAAGCCGAAGTAGGCCAGTTCTAAATCGAGTTGATGGGGCTCACATACACTCGCACATCTATGACCAAGTATTAAACAGAGCGCAGCTGAATCGAGTTATTTCGGTACATATATAACAACTAATTGTACATCCGCTTACATCGTAGCCGAATCGATATTGACTTGTGGATAACTCGTACATATTTTACACCTTTGTGTATATACGCTTCAATGGTCATTTGTCTGATACATACCGTACTAGTTATCGAAACGTCACATAGAAACATTTGTTGGTTTGTAACAAGAATCTTTTCAAAAGCCCGTACTATTATTCACAACACATTTTTCTTCTTATTATAACATTAAAATTGCCTGACGAAAATCAGGAAGCCAAAGAAAGCAGCAGGTGAAAGTATTTCCCACTAAAGCGCATTTTGAAACAATTTGTATTAATTGAATTTATTTTTCATTACTTAATAAATATATTTATATGTAATAAAATTGCTAATCAAAAATGAAATATATTACCCATAGGTTGAAGTTTACATCCGCCAAGGTCGAACCTAAGACAAGGCCGACTTTGCCACATCCTAGTGTTGACCCGGAAGTACTTGGCTGTGATGTGGGGGTTGATGATATGTCTCACAACAGTGTTGCCGTCCGTATTTCCAGTAAACAACTGTAATCAAATTATATGTGTGAACGATATTGGTATAACAACAACCATCGCTTAATATGTTAATAACAATATTATGATAACAACAATTAGTGATATGGGTATATGATAGTGTTATGATAACAAATATAACTGTAATATGATGTTATACTAGTGTTATGATAAAATAAATTAATAATATGTGTATAAGAAAGTGTTATTATAACAAATATAACTGATTTAACGATATTAAGTCAGCAGAAAAAAGGAACATGTTGTCTATTTAAGTGGAGCAATATTTTGTCATCAGTTACATTCTCCGAATTCTACATTACCTCAGGGTTGTTGTCCGAGGACATCACCCTTGTCCAGGTAACATTGTCCATACTGTATAATAGGTAGAATGTCTTCACCCATTGTGGATAGTCACCACGACATTGTATTGACACGGAATCTACTGTCGCTTCGGTTTCAAATTCTACCTGTATAAAAGTCCGAATAAATAATGTTGAGAAGATCAAAATAATTTTCCTATGGTTATGTCAGAAAACAATGTGTTTCCTCGTCATGGTCTGTAAACCCTAAAACATTTCCTGTATGGAAACAGAACTAGACTTGCTATATAACCATGAAAACAATTTTTCAATTCAATGTTTTTGATGTCACAATTAATTTAACATAATAAATGAAGCCACAGTACTACTTCAATATAACTTAATGCCACTGTCCATATGTTCTCTACACACAGTTTATTGAGATAACATATATATACACTATACACTCCTTCTATAAGGCCAATATAAAAATATAAAACACCGTTTCATATCTCTACATCTTATAGATCTTTTAAATTGATTAACATGTTTTGTTTATATCACCAATAACATATTAACATTTATTAGTCTTTCAATGAAATTCCATTTTTGAATTATTGTTTTCTGTTTTTTAGATGAGTATTTAATCCACCCTCTATTACTATTCTATAAAAAATATGTGTATGAAAACTATTTATATATTTATTTATGAAAATAGAAACACTGTAATAATTCTTTCCAAACACTCGTTTTAAATAGAAAAACGGACCTCATTACAAACTAGGAATGTTTTATTTTTATTTTCATGAGGTCTTTCTTTCCAAAAAAGACAAGTGGATACATAAATATATGGTTATGAACTATTTCGTTGCATAGTTTTGTGAAAACAGGACAAACACCAAGATGAAATATAAGGATAACTATTCGATTTTTATCTATCGACCATTGGATGGCATAATTGTAATTGAAGCTAAAAAGTTGATGCTTATCTCGTTTTGGTTCGTCGAATTTGCCAATACTAGTGTATATCACGAGTAATTGAAAGGCAAATTACTAATCATTACGGTAATTTTTAGCTTATTGACGTTGTGCATATTATAATCAATACTTGTATATACTGGCAAAATACCAAGAAAATATCGATTAATATGTCATTAGTTATAATTGCATGTTTCGGTTCATGGAATTTGTTCATTAAGTACAAATATACTTGATAGTTTCGGTCCAATCATTTTGTCAATTATTGAATATATAATAATAATAGTATACAACATTTATATAGCGCCCTATATAATTTGTAAAATTACTCTAAAGCGCTTTACCACATATGGATAATAGTAATAGTTATAATTGTGAAAGCAAAAAACAAAGGCTTGCAATCACTGTAATACATTTAAGCAAGCAATGTGCACATAATTGAACAAATGAAAGGGTGGTATTTACATGACGTCTATGCAAAGATTCTAAAATGCAGACGTGAAGTGGTGAGTTTTGATGTCCCTCTTGAACTTGGCCAGGGTATTTGACTTTCTAATAGTAGATGGTAAGCTATTTACACCAAGTGTTACATTACATGCAATACGCAAATTGTTAAAACTAGTTTACTTGTATATAGGATTCCTCGTTTATGTGATTGGAACACCATCCAGAACCGCTGTTGAGATTGGGTCTTTCAAAATACAGTCGAGCATTATCAGGACTATAGTCGTATTGTTCCGAAAAGGAACTAGATGCCGTAAACGCTTCGTTCGGAACACCAGAAAAACCAGACAGAAGGTATTCAGAACACCACATCTTGTCCGTCTCTATGAGAAAAGGAGAAAACATCCAATGTTTAAATTTGATATATGCATGATCAACACAAGGATAATCCTTGTTCCGTTTTATGTTCTTTGATGAAGATTTGTGATTAAATTCTTCCAAAAAATATATCATATCATGTTAGAATACGGAGCTAAAATAGAATCTGAAATCATCATTGTCTCATCTATTGAAACAAGGCAGCTATAGACACGCGTTCTGTTAAGTTACTTGGATATCTTCACGAAAAGCTGCTGGTCATGTTTTGGCAGGAAACAGGGATGGCTTCAAGATCAGTTACTAGTCTCAACTGCCATTTTCTGGTGGGGAACAGAGATGTCTTGCAGATCAGTTACTTGCCATTGAAGGTCGTGTTCTTGTTTAGACAAGGGCTGGCTTCAAGATCAGTTTCTGGTCATAAACATCTTGTTTTGGTGCGGAACAAGGATGTCTTCAAGATCAGTTTCTGGTCACAAAAGACATGTTAACGTGAAGACCATAGCTGGCTTCGAAATAATCTAGTTGCCACAAAAGTCATCTTCTTGTTGTTAACTGGGATGGCTTCAAATAACGTTACTGATCATAAAAAGGCATGTTCTGGTGGGTGTTTTTTTTATTGCTTTAAGATAAGTCACTGGTCACAAGAGTCAAGTTCTGGTGGGAAACAATAATATTCTAGTGGGGAACAGGGATGGCTTCGTGATAAGTCACTGGTCACAAGAGTCATGTTCTGGTGGGAAACAATAATGTTCTAGTGGGGAACAGGGATGTCTTCGATATAAGTAACGGGTCACAAGAGTCATGTTCTGGTGGGAAACAATGTTCTAGTGGGGAACAGGGATGGCTTCGTGATAAGTCACTGGTCACAAGAGGCATGTTCTGGTGGGAAACAATAATGTTCTAGTGGGGAACACGGATGGCTTCGAGATAAGTCACTGGTCACAAGAGTCATGTTCTGGTGGGAAACAATAATGTTCTAGTAGGGAACAGGGATGGCTTTAAGATAAGTCACTGGTCACAAGAGGCATGCTCTGGTGGGAAACAATAATATTCAAGTGGGGAACAGGGATGTCTTCGTGATAAGTCACTGGTCACAAGAGTCATGTTCTGGTGGGAAACAATAATGTTCTAGTGGAGAACAGGGATGTCTTCGTGATAAGTCACTGGTCATAAGAGTCATGTTCTGGTGGGAAACAATAATGTTCTAGTGGGGAACAGGTATGTCTTCGTGATAAGTCACTGGTCACAAGAGTCATGTTCTGGTGGGGAACAATAATGTTCTAGTTGGGAACACGGATGGCTTCGAGATAAGTCACTGGTCACAAGAGTCATGTTCTGGTGGGGAACAATAATATTTTAGTGGGGAACAGGGATGGCTTCGAGATAAGTCACTAGTCACAAGAGTCATGTTCTGGGGGGCAACAATAATATTCTAGTGGGAAACAGGGATGGCTTCGAGATAAGTCACTGGTCACAAAAGTCATGTTATGGTGGGAAACAATAATGTTCTAGTGGGGAACAGGGATGGCTTCGAGATAAGTCACTGGTCACAAAAGTCATGTTATGGTGGGAAACAATAACGTTCTAGTGGGGAACAGGGATGTCTTCGTGATAAGTCACTGGTTACAAGAGTCATGTTCTGGTGGGCAACAATAATATTCTAGTGGGAAACAGGGATGGCTTCGTGATAAGTCACTGGTCACAAGAGTCATGTTCTAGTGGAAAACAATAATGTTCTAGTGGGGAACAGGTATGTCTTCGTGATAAGTCACTGGTCACAAGACTCATGTTCTGGTGGGAAACAATTTTCTAGTGGGGAACAGGGATGGCTTCGGGATAAGTCACTGGTCACAAGAGTCATGTTCTAGTGGAAAACAATAATGTTCTAGTGGGGAACAGGGATGTCTTCGTGAAAAGTCACTGGTTACAAGAGTCATGTTCTGGTGAGCAACAATAATATTCTAGTGGGGAACAGGGATGGCTTCGAGATAAGTCACTGGTCACAAGAGTCATGTTATGGTGGGCAACAGTAATATTCAAGTGGGAAACAGGGATGGCTTCGAGATAAGTCACTAGTCACAAGAGTCATGTTCTGGTGGGTAACAGTAATATTCAAGTGGGAAACAGGGATGGCTTCAAGATATGTTTCTGGTCACAAAGCCATAATCTGGTTGATAACAGAGATGAATTCAAGATAAGTAACTGGTCGAAAGTCACATTTGGTGGTTAACTGGGTCGGTTTCTAGATATGTAACATGTTCTGCACTGGATGGCTTCAAGATCTTAAACTGGTTACAAAAGTCATGTTCTGCAAGGGCCCAAGGATGGCTTCCAGATATGTAACTGGTCACAAAAGTCATGTTCTGCAAGGGCCCATGGCTGGCTTCAAGATAAGCTACTGGTCACAAAGTCATGTTCTAGATTGTAACAGGGATGAGTGACAACATTTTTCTTTTTACATATACGTCACTGGTCAACAGAAGCACTGGTCACTTAAAACACGCCAGATACGTCACTGGTAGCAAACGATACGCTCTGTTGGGTATTAAGGGTAAGTGAATTCATAATCTCTTTCCTACATACCTGAAACTGGAAAGTTCAACAGGAAGCTTGTTACTACAATCAGGAAAGATGGGTGCATCGTCGTTATTAGTTTGATGTCCTGCAGACGTCTTCTTGTCGATTCTGTTCTTATAACGGAAAAAACACATAAGTCCAAATTGTTCAGATGTTTGAAATAATCTAAAAATTAACGACATAATTACCAATCTGATAGATATTTGCTCTCGTAGAAGTAATACAAACTAAGTAAGATAAGATAAACTATTAAACATGCAGATAGTTGTATGTCTAACAAAATCAAAGTATTTTGAATAAGTTTCTAAAGCATTGAGTAACTGAGGTTAATTAAAAAACTAACGATACATTAATTTGTTTAAACAGTAAGTTTTGATTTATTAAAACAATAAGCAAACTTGGTTTAAAGCAACCGTTATTGTTTTCAATCACAATATATTTTGAATTGTTCCACATGTTAATTTCATGTTTCTATTAAATGTAAATAAATGTCAAATGTAAAAAAGAAGTTATAGTATGATAAACTACATATTTTCCGCAACTAGCCTGAAATATATAAGAGAAGGACTTTCTTAGAACAAATAAATAGGAAACTCGTGATTTACTCCAACACTCATTATCTCAAGTGATGGCGAAGCATTGCTAAAAGTATGATATGTTGCCTTTGTTGTCTAATCAGTTAAGGCAATTGGCTGGATAATAATTATTTTCTAAATTACGGACAAACAGAATTGAAAGTACAGGGAGGTTAAAATGATTATATAAACATTGATTTTCTCTTCAGCTCGCTGTCGTACTTTCAGTTGGAGTCGTAATTGTCTTTTTGTTACACCAACATATATCAAACCATAGAGACCACGCTCAATAACATATATCAAACCATAGAGACCACGCTCAATAACATATATGAAACCATAGAGACCACGATCAATAACATATACGATATTGGAGGTTTCAAATTCAGTTCAAATTCAGTTCAAATTCAGTGTTTCAAATATTTTTGTACAATATTTTTAACAGAGAGGGGACTAATAGCTGAATATAATGTTTCGGAAACGGGTATTGTTTGGCCACCAGGCGCTTGTTGTTAAATGATTTCATTACATGATGTTATGTAGGATTGCTTGAAGCCGACCTTTTTTGTATGTTCATGGAAAAGACTGTCTCGCATCTATAAGTTCCTTTGTTCTATGTCACTATGTGGGGGATTGTGTGTGTGTGTATGTGTGTGTGTGTGGGGGTGGGGGGG